AAATTAATATTAAAAATAATTAAAATAATAAATAAATAAATAAAAATATATTTTTAATAATTATTAATTAATATTTTAAATGATATTTTTCATTAGAAATATAATTTATTATAAAAAAAACTAAAATCAATTTTTATATATATTTATTTATATAAAATTAGCTTAATAGATTTATAATATATATGTTTTTAATATATTTAATGCGTCTGGATCCAAATATCCGGACCTTAAAATTTTGTTATCCGGATCCTCTTTTTATGGATCTTAAATTTTACTATCCTTATCTGGATCTGGGCTCCTCGGATATCCTAATTTTCGGAGCTGAACGGATAACGGATTGGTTTTCGGATTTTGGATAATAATTCCAGCCCTAGGTAGAGGTTTAAAATGATAAACATCGTCGGTCACTTAAGAAAGAAACAAAAATAGAAGGGGTGTAAAAATTCCAAGAAAAAAAAAATCGCATTTTTCAAAATTTGAAATCAGCTAAAGAGAAGAAGCACTTGTATTTCTCTTTCTCGTCGTCTCGCGTCGTGTCATCATTTTTCTCAGATTCCTGAATAATTCCCTTTCGATTCCAATCCCCAATTCCTCCTTCCCTTGATCGATCCATAACTTCATTTTCCCGAATTCGGATTCGAAAACCCTAGGTTTCAATCATGCCCATGGAGAACGACAATAGCAACGGTGCCAACGTCGTCGTCACCGCCGACCAAGCGACCAAGGTTAACGACTCTGATGGACGTTTACCGGAGAATCGGCAGAGCGGTGTTGTCCCAGACGCCGGAAGTGGAAGCGAGAAAGGAGAGGAGATGGTGGAGACGGCAGTGGCGGTTGCCGTGGAGGAAAGCGGATCGAATTTGGTGGGAGAGCTACCTCCCCGATCTTCCTCCGCTAGAGTTCCGTTCACTAATCTAAGCCAAATCGATGCGGATCTTGCTCTCGCTCGCACGCTACAAGAACAGGTTGGGTCTCTTTAGGATTTCTGTGTGACTTTTATAGGTTATTCGATGCTGTTTGGGATTTCCTGGTGCTTATTCTCATGGATACGCGGAATAGTTCATTTTCTCTTTCTGATTGCATTTGGAATTTGGGTTTTCCGATGAATTTCTGTAGAATTGTCTACTGAATAT